GAGTAATTCTGAAATAGAAACTGCGAAAACTTCCTTTGAAGGCAGCAGGCTGCAAGGGAAAGTTGTTCCAAACATACATGGAACTTTTGTCTAGAGAGACGAAACATGGCTGCAAAGCGGATGAACAGGTCTTTTACCCCATCTCGCTGGTCTTTGTGTTTAACTCGGGAAGCATCATCAGTTTCCATGCTGTCCTTGTCATCTGTTGCATCTCCCAAGGTCAGGCTGTGTCGAGTCTGATCAAAGAGCGCAATGACCTCATCTTGGAGTGTTTCACACACGCTCAACACCAGCTGGGAGTACTGTGGGATCTCATTCACTGCGAGACAAACAGAATAGAAAACAGTTAACACACAATCCTTGTACTTAGGTTTCCAGTTTAACTGATAACATCACCGAGCCACATTTCTTGGAGTTAGTATTTATTCTGTTTTCCTTTCAAAACCTACAAAACAGAATGTGAGGAACCGTGACTAAGGCAGATTATTAAGTCTAGGAGGATATAATAAGGGATTAGACAGTCACCTGGATTACAAAAACTGTGACTAAGGCAGATGATTAAGTCTAGGAGGATATAATAAAGGATTAGACAGTCACCTGGATTACAAAAACATGTAGTTTTACCAAGAAGTCATATAAACTCATGACACCTCAAAGCACGAATCAAGAACTGCTATGGAAAGATTATTCCATAACTGCTCACTACAGCAGTTCCTACCCATTTCTCCAGATTGCTGGTACGGGCCCATACCGATTGGGTGCAGTCTGTGTTCTGTGAGTCTGTATAAATACTACATTCTTACCAAAACCATTATAATAAATTGCACCACCTTTCACCAGCATGACTGGAAACTCAAATTCAACAGCAAAGAAAAACATCTGAAAACAACCCAACCCTCTACCTTCTATTTATTTTCCAAAATACACAAGCTTGCAGGGCCCGAGCAGTGGGACAAGGAATACACAGAAAGGTAAGCAGATACAATTCCCAACACCACAATTGCCTCTGTATGTATTGTACAGAGAAATACTGCCCAGATTCCACTGAGGGTCTTCAAGTGCTACTGCAATGAAAGATGCCCCACAAGTGACAGGAGTAATGACCAGACTAGTTTCTCTGGTTTGTAACAAAAAGTACCCTCAGAAGACTTTCTTGTGCTTGAGTCTTTTGTTATCTCTAACTAGAAATTCACGTCAGAATCTAAGCTCTACAGTCACTCTGTGAGATGGCATTACTAGGGTGTCCCTCCCACACCTGCTGAGCTATTTTCAAAAACACATGGGAACCCTATCTTGTATCTATCAAACTGATCAAACACAGAGGTTATTGTTGGGGAAAGACGAGAGGAGGGAAGGCATACACATACTGTGAATGAAAAACCTCATGTATTTCTAAAACTAGCTAAAACAAGTAAGAAAAAAGTAAAGAAGTCCCACAGGTTGGTAACTATATTCAGCATCCTGTACTACTACTAACATCATACACATTTTTATCATGGAAACACCAGAGTGTTAGAGTGTATTCAGCCATGGCAGCCCTGCACTTGCACATACACCACCTCACCTTTCATCTCCTTCATTTGCAGAACAGTGATAAGAGCCGAGAACACTTTGGCTTTGGTTTTCTCCATCATCTGCTGATCTGCCTGCAGTACTCCCTCCAGAATCTGCGTCAAGGAGCTTATGATTTTATCCACAGAACCCAACTCACTGACAAAAAAAAAGGGAGAGCTCTTCAGATTAGACAAGATCCTGCAATAAATATATTGGCTTGACTGAGCTGTGTGGATCATAAGTTATATGATCCAGATAAATAAAAGCAGTTCTTCCAAGTAAACTTTAAAGTCACCACCTGGATCTCACTAAAGGCATTCCATAGTACAGTGAGAATGCAGGACTGACTATCACAAAAGCTTTTTTGATGTATTTTTAACCAGTAAGCAGGAAGCCAAACTGTAAACGTATTGCTACAAGAGATTTCAGCAACAGCCTTCAGACATTTGCCATCCCAAAAGAGAATTCTATTAAAAGGCTTCAGTTTCCTCCCCAAATCACTAAGGGAACCTCACTAGAGCAAAACACTTAAAACACAACCTCCCAAGTTTTTATATTTAGCAGTGACTAATCATTATCCAAACAAAATACCTACCTCTTCCACTGTTTGAGCAGGATCAGAAGAAGGGTACATAGCATAGACCCCAGCTGTAGACAGGATACTGACATGGGAACTAGGAGCTAAGAAGAAATACTGCAAGAGTTACAGTTGCAACAGTCACATGTAAGAACACTTCAGAAATCCTCAGCCCAAGCACCACTACCAAATGACCAGGTTTGCTCTTCAGCAGCTAGCACCATCAAGGGAACCAGAGCTGGGAGCCTCTGCAGAGTCCCTCAGTGATGACAGGAATGACATATACAAAATAAAGATTTACAAGAAGTTCATCAATTCAGGAGGAGAGACTTTGTTTCAGCCCAACTTCACAGGATCTAAAAAACCTATGATGGCAAGCAGCTACAGAAATAGAACTACTCACAGTACAAAGAAGAGGAGCAATTGGGAAATTAAAGAAGACAGGAAGCACCACCTACCAAAACCTTGGTGCCATTTAGCACATCCAGAAACAATTGCTGATGAACTGCAGAATCAGTCAGATGCATTATATCCGCCTAAAATCCACAAAGACAGAGATCAATCAAGCACAACAAAAGATGCACCTTCTTAGCAGTCTAACATCAGTCTACTGTTTTCATTTGTTACTTTAAGAATTCATCAAATTTTATAGCTGCTGAATGATGCAGTTTTACAGAAATCACTGAAGTATTAGATTAACAGTTGACAAGAAGTCAGCAATTACTAATTTCCCTAATGGTGCGTCCCTGCCTCACTTGACTCAGCAAAATCTCTTCAGGATTACTTAGAATTGCTATAAAAATTATTTACTACCTCCCTCCTCTGCTCAGACAGCCGATACGCTCATTTTGATCAAACGGCAAAACACCACCTACTCTAACCTCCTGTGCCATGCTCACGCCAACTTGTGTTGTAAGCATATATACAACAAAATTGAAAGAAAAAACAGTGAATTCTTCATTACTGCTTAGTAATGCCCTAAGAAGTTGACATTGTATTATTCAAAATGTTAATTTCAGATTATCATGAAAGATAAGAGGTAGCTCTTACATGGCTAGTAGAGATTATCAGCAGCATCCGCCAGGCTGAGATGAGCATTTGATATTCTGTCATGGAGGCACAGCTGCTCCCCTCTGTCTCTGCCATGTGATATGCCAGTAACTTCACATATTCTGACCAATAGGCAAAGCGCTTTTTGGTGGAGAAATTCTTCAGCGTGTCTTTCAGGGACTGATCCAGTGAGCCCCTGACAAAATCAAGAGGAGAAGTTATCTTCATTTACTCTTTGGTCAGAAAATATACCTCTTCTGAGAGTCAGGTAGGAAGCCAAGTACACAGCTTGCAAGTGAAGGTTATTCCACATATCAGACCTGTGCAGGGAATCCCACTTTTTGCATCAAATATGAAGGAGAAACATGATCCCTGAAGAAAACCTACAATTTTTTATTTTTTTCTTAAGCAGAGATTTTAGTTAATCCTGACTTTTCAACACACTGAAGGGCAGTTATGTTCAGGAAAACAAAATGAGTGGGAGAAAACTACTACAGTGGTATTCAGCAACCACTATAGTAGGTGTAACTTAGTTTACAAATAGTTTTAATAAATACTGTATATTCTCATTGCAGGGTACAAGGAAAATACTAATACTAACATTCTCTCCTACAGGCTGTAGAAAGACTGTAACATCTCTTTCTGCAATTGGTCACTGCAAGAATCTCAAATGCCTATTTGTAATTTGTTTATAAATCACTGTTCCTCCCACATTTTCACAGGATTACATGTACTTTGTCCCTCAAAGCCTGCATGGCCTATCAAGATTTAACACACACAGTTTAGATAATTAAAAAGTACAGGGACGAAGGACAGACTACCAAAGACTCACTTGACAACGTAGTAGATCTCCAAACAGATGATTTTCATGATTAAGGCACAGGTATCCAACACACTGAGCTATAAAGACAAAAAAAAAAAAAAAAGCAAAATCTGAGCACCTAGCTCTGCAGGTTAAGTGGAATTCTGATTTATCCCTGTCCATCCACTTGCGGTGACTGATACTCCAGTTTTGCAGACTTGTTTCTCCTATGATAGCAATAGTTATGTCATTTGACCATGGACTGGTGATAACAAGGAAAGAATGTTGTGTTCAAAGCGGCACTCTGAGTGAGAGCACAGGACTTTCATAACAAAGGGGAAAACTCCCACAGAATGGAATAATAACAAGAACCTCATCGATTTCTCTGTGAAACTAGTCAGCCCAAGCTATGCCTGAAAAAAAAAGGAGAGTTTCTTTTGCCAAACAGCACACGACGTATAGTATGGATACACTACAGAGAGCATACCTTCCAAAAAGTAAGTGTTACCACAGATGCCAGGTAACATATATTTTTGTTTCATATGTGAATAAAAAGCAGAGAATTTCAGAAGACAGCTCACTGTTGTACAGTCTCTGCAAAGCCAGAAGGCATTCACTTCATCTCCTGCCTGTGCTTAAACCACTTGATCATACTTACTTTTAGAAAACTGCAAGCAGACGGAAGAGCCACATACACCACTTAAAAACCTTTTCTGAGAAGTACATAACTATTTTCATTTTGTTTGGATGTAACTCACCTCTGATGACTCTGAAGGCGGAGGAAGGGTGCCAAAGAGGGGGTTGGTTAAATTTTCCCAAAACTTTGGCCTAAAAGATATATACAGAAGTAATATCAGTTAACTCCCCCGTGCTACATGCCTAGCAGCATTTTGACTGTTTCAAACTTCATACAAAATATGCTTTAGTAAATACAAGCTTATATAGCTTTGTATAAAAGAAACAGAAATAAATATATCTGCTTCTGAACATGCACATAGGGGCTTCTCATCTTCTTTCCCAAGAAACTAAGTTCAAAGCCCACACACTGCATACCCTTACCAGAGCACACAAAGACCAAGATGCAAATGTCCCTGAAAAGTCAGATGAATGAAAGAAAAAGTGTTTTGGAAAAAATGAAGGAAAATGCATTGTAGAAAAACAACAACTCACTTTGTCCTCAGAACTAGCATGGCGCTATCTCGACGGTCCTGCCACAGAGCATGCAGGAAGGCAATGGCAGCACGGTGCAGGAGGGGAGGGCACCAGTACCTCTCCTGTTGTTTGGAGTCTATCAGTTCTAAGACTACTTGGAGGCAACTCCACTCCCCTAAGCTGAATTCCTAAAGCAAAAATAAATGAGAGAGGTTACATCGCCACAGAATCACTACATAGGCACCTATTAAAACAGAATGTGCTTGATTCCACTTGAGCCATCCACAGAGAAATAAATCTTGAGTACACGATGCCATCATATATTTTGTATATACAACTACAAGGAATGTAGTCATAACACAGGAGAGAAAAAAAGTATTTTTAGGGAATAAAAAATGAGCTGAGCTAAGACTTAGTAAGACCAAGTGCCTTCAAAAGGTTCCAACCCAAGAAGACCTTGAACTGCAAAGCACCAGAGTGGATATTCTGGAAAACTGGTATTGTCCATTTTACCTCAGTCTTCAGCTTTCTCACTGACTGGCCACTGTCAGAGTCAAGAGAGTGGGCCACAAGGATTTTTGGTCTGACCCAGTAGATATTCTTATGTTAACTCAGTATCTGCCTTGAAATACTGGGGAAAGTTTCTCTTCAGTTATAGGGAAAAGTGAAACTGGGATAGCAGCACATCCATTAATTGCAAGCACAAGCTGCATTTATCTTTACATTAAGCGCACCACGTTACATGTTAAAAACTATCAGGTTTGAGAGACTAGTGCCATAAAAGTGCTACAAATGCTACAATAAAAGACTAGTGAGTCCTTGGACAAGTATCTGCTATTCTACCTTTGACCCATCACTGCCATCCTTCACTTCCAAGTTCAGAAACAGCTCAATGAGCCCAGGTTGTGTCTCCACCGCGACTGTGAGGAACTCCAGTATCATGACCTTAATACGCATGTCCTCAATCTTGCTCTGCAGGCGGGTGAGGAAGGCATCACGGATGGCAGCAGCATCACTACCAAGGCAGGCATAAACAGACATGGGAGCAACCTGCAAAAGGAAAGAAACATCAGAAGAAAAATAAGCAAACTCTACAGAATGCTTCTTGTCTCTATAAAAGGTGATTTGCATTTCAAATTGAACCTCCAAAATACTTGATATTGAATCTATGAACACATGTGAGGGAACTCAAAAGTAAGTTGTTGCCATTAAGCGGGAAGAAATCTGTAAAGTGATCCAAATTTTCCTCTTTGGCAATTCTGCTCTATCCCTCACCTATTTCTCAAGGGCTATGACAAAACTGGAAAAGACAAAGAGAAAAACAGTTTTGGAATAATGTTTCTTGAAATAAATAAATGCAGAGCTGGATTTGTATGCTTTAACAAAACTGCAAATACATTCTCAGAAGTTTAGTAGCCAAAAAGAGTAAGTCTAAAAGGCAAAGTTGAAAGCTTCTGATAAAAACTTGAATAGGATCCTCTTCTCAGTAAGATGGTAAAGTTCCAGTTAAGAAGGTGTACAAATTGTATTTAAGAGTGTGACTTGAGAAAGTTGCTCAAAAAAGTGGAAAGAGATCAACTGGAGGTGCAAATACTTTGCAGAAAACACCCCACTCATGTGAAGCCTCTCAGTGAGATGCTAAGTGACTTCTGAAACAGCAGAAGACTACGTTAAAAAACAAAAGGGCCCTTTATGTGATTTTTTTAATATGCTCTACCTTACAGCTTTCAGTCCACACTGCCTTGAACTGACTTGCATTAAGCTCCTTGATACAAAAAAACCTGAAGAGATTATCTTGAAAGAATTTCAGTGGTGGAATGGGTCACAAGGGGAGAAGCAAAGGAGTACTAGTGTGAGTCTCATCTTACCGTAGCCAGTCGTTTGAGCAACTGGATGGCCAGGCGTGGAAGTGCAGGGTCATGCTTGTGGTAGATGTATTTTGCCAAGACTGCAATAAGATTGTTTCCATGAGCACCTGGAGAGAGCGCAATTAAAATCAGAGAAGAAACTGCAACAAGATGGAACTATTTACCAAACAATGATTTCCATAGCAGAAGGTGAGAACTAGGTCAGTCTTCCAAAAGAACAAGGGCCCAGCCAGAGGTACTAATGGCAGCTGATTTACCATCTTCTGTAATTCCACCCATTTCATTACAAAGCAGCAAACAACAAGCCGCATTTGCCTAATACTTTAAAAGCTGTCTCAGAGAAGGATGCCTTAGAGGAGAGAGAATAGGCCTTCTCCCAACACTAGAAACCACTTTTTGGAACCTTGAAATCTTAACTACTGTTTGTAATAAGACATACACTGACTATTTAGAAGTAACACAAAAGCATAGCTGCCCAGGCTGCCCCCATGGAGAAATACATACCATGCTGAGTAAGTGCCTGTTCTAATGGAGATACCACGCTAGAGGGGGGTTTCAACCGGATGACATTATTCGTAACCGAGAATGCCAGCTTAACTGTTTGGATCAGCAGTTGACCTTGGCCTTGTGACTCATCACTGTGTTTCCAAAAAGAAATGAAAGTAATTGTATTGACAACCAACATTTATTATTTGCACAACATTTAAAGAGGAAATTCTATACTCTGTCAGTCGGGGGTTATAAGACATTTTTACTCAGACTGTTATGACACCACACACAAGCTGCTAAAATCCAAACCCTCACATATCCACCAAAAAAATATTGTCTACCCAGCCCCGACTTTTCAGCATCGAGCAAAAAAGAGCCTGACAGCCTATTGTCACTTTTTTTTTTCCCTCTTTGGGATACAGAGATTTAAAATGTATTAAGACAGAGGGAGAAACCTTCACAGAACCAATCTCACAGATATTGTAGTGAGCCAAAACTGGATGAAAACATACAACTGGCTCTAAGTCTTTTTTTTCCTAAGAACTTCTTTATCAGATAAACATTCTGGAGAGACATTAAAGCCAAAAAGTCTTCTCAAATAGGTCTGACTTTCTCTCTTCAACAAGTCTGGATTCCCTTCCAGACGTGTTTTGAAAGAAAAAAATGGAAGACTTTATCAGAAACAACCTGCTAGCAAGTTTGGCTGGCTATGTGTCAAGTAAAGTTGGCCAGGAAAAGAGAACAGAGGAAAGGAGAGAGATTCAACCATAGCTAAAGCAAAAGATTCAAGCCTTCAGACAGACACATAAGGAAGCTGAGGTGCTCAACACTGAATATTTCTTCAATACTTCCACAGTACTTCAAGCCGCCTTCAGAACCATCCTGAATGGACTGATCATCCCTAGCACTTCCAAAATTACAGTTCAAGCTTTATTACCATTTACTCCTGAGTATAGCTTGACCTGAACTCTGGGGTTACCTGAAGACACAGAACTTCTAATATTGGCTCTAAACCTCTTGCTTCTAATTCAGTCATTCAATCTTACAAAATTGAGTTCAAGTGAATTCTTTATAAAAAAATGAACTGCTAGCAAATGTCAAACAATTGAGCACATTTACACCCACTGGCATGCTCCAAATGTCATTTAGAAATAGAAAACTAAAACAATGACATGAAATGGAGAGTGTACAGCAAAGACTATATACAGACCTGGAACAAACAAGGCTTGTTCCTCCAGACCATACAAGGCAGGCTGCCATGGCTAGCTGCTGCGCTGATCCTCCGTTAAATGCAATCAAGTCAAAGCTAAATTTCGAATATCATTCGCTTCTTTCCTCACACTACTGAAATGAAACACACCACTCACCTACTAGACTGGGAGGCCATCACCATATCAATAGTGTCCACACCAATTCCCATGATGTTAATGACTGCTTGCCCTGCTTCAGTGTTGGCCAGGCTGAAGATGCACAAGGACTGAAGGCTGGGAGCATTGCTGTGAGACACAAACAACACAGGGCATCATCACTAGGAGCGTTTGCAGCATTTTGCCACGTAGCACTTAGAAAACTACCACAGTAGTAACCTCTTAATTACTACACCCCCAGTGACCCCTACTTTATTCTCCCTTCTACTTTCTTCAGAGTGGATATACCAAATAGGAAAGTGGATGGCAGTCTGTCCCAGGAAATCTATTTACTGTTTTCTCAAAATCAGTGTCGTTTGCTCTGTCCCCAATCTTTTTCTACCCTTCCTGTATTCAGTATTGCAGAAAAGAGTCGAAACCAGCACTATGCACCTATGCCAGTGCACTCCTAGTCATTTGCATTCAAAAACCGAAACAAAATGAGAGTGATTCCTGCACTGTAAGTCAGGCTAGTGCAGTTCTGAAATCCACCAGCTGTCTTACCTACTGCGAGGATCCATTTCAGGGCATAAATTCAGTATAGCATGGATCAACTGCAGAATAAGGCATCCTAAAACAGAGATGAAATGGACTACTCAGCTTTCAGGAAGATCTGTTGGCTAGTTCCTACTATTTTCACACAAATTACAGCATCTAGCAATACCGGTAAATCCCAAATGGCTGCTAAAAAAGGTATGATAAAAAAAGGAAAAAAGATTCACACGTTCTGTCTGAGAAGATAGGTGATCCTTCTTATCCCCTCCTCCTCCCTTCTGCCACCTTCAACATCCTTACCAATTTTCTCTCTCACTCCATGCGAGCTGTAACGCCATTTGTGGTAATTTGGCAACATCTCCTTCAAGACAAAAACAATGCAGGGCACAAGTCCCTGGCTCTGGGTGCTACCAAGTTGTCCCTAGGAGAAACAGAAATGTTATTGTCCCCCTTCTGGTTAAAAGGATAAGAAACTTTTTGCAGGAAGATATGCCACATATCTTTAAAGTGTGAGAAAACTCTCAAGCCTGGGGACATAGGTTTACAAGTGACTTCTATTCTTTTGTAGATCAGATGAATCAAACCAGTTTTTTGAAAGAATCAGACTACAGAGAAAGTACAAACAGTAGAGCGGAAGGGAGTGTTAACCAGTGATTACTCTTAGAGACACGCTGCCCCGGAGATCAATCTCAGACAGGGCTGTATTTCACTTTCCTGTCGTAGCACTTACCCGGACAAGAGTTGTTATCAGGTTCAGGAAGGAGATGGTAACCCTGTACTCGCCTTGAGGCTGTTCTATGCTCATCAATAGGTTTCCATAGCCCCCAGCATTCATTCCTTCTGCACTGTGAAATAAGCAACAGGGTTTATTACAGGAACAGGAGCGTTCTCACATGAATGAGAGATGTCAGATGCATAGATTTCACACTGGCAAAAAGTTCTTATGACATGTTATGAACAGGTTATGCTGAAAAAAAAAAAGGGAGGGGGATGATGAATACCTAATCACGTGATTCATACTGGACACTGGATTGGCAACAAATGGCAAGAACCCCGTATGGTGAAGGTCAGTCCAAACCTACAAGAGAAAAAGTTCAGATATTCCCTCTCATTCACATATACATGTCTACTAGTTCTCAAACCCAGCAAACCCAGGTCATTTACTCACCTTGGCTGGCATCCGAGCAGCCAGTACTGTCAAACAATTGACACAAGAAGCAATAACATCCACAGGGGGAGCGATTACAGTCGTTAGCCTACAAAAGAGAAATAGTATGCATAAAACCACTGCCACCTGTGGTCTAGTCTATATACTGTTCTTTCAATCAAAAAACCTTCTCTCACTGACATACACAAGTATAAAATACAAGCAGGTAAATACAGACATCAGAGTCTCCACTTTCTGTCTAGACTTGCCACCTCCCCCTCACACCTGAGTCAGATCAATTTGCTGCAAGAGTCAAGGCTGGCAAGACAGCAGACTGTCACAGTGAACAATAATTATGCAGCAGAACATCAATTTCCAGGCAGTTAACACTGAGAGAAGAGTTGATAAGTACAATTGTTTCAACATCTGGAAGTTACTGCTCTAATGATATGTTTTATTCCCCTTTCATGCAAACACAGCTACCAATAAAAAATGCCTTTAAATGGATAAAATTGTACAACATTCAGGAAAGAAGTGGAAGAGGGCCCATTCTGTTGCATCAAAGCATTAAACAGTCTGTAGCCAGAATAGTCATGAGAACTGAACGCCAGTTTTGAGGAGTTCAAGCACTGAGACATACTTCTTGCAAAGCTCTTGGCAAAACTAGTAATTAGCCGTTCTTCCAGCTCATTATTATCTTTCCAGGTACCTCCGCTGTCAGTTGACTTCATGCCAGTCAGTGACTTACCTCTGCAGGAGCATGTAGATTCGCGACGTGATTGGCAGAAGGCAATCTGCTATCGATACATCAGTGCTGATGACTTTATGAACCAGATCAATTATTGGCTTGACCCTCTGGCAATGCTGAATCACATCTGGGTAAAGAAAACTAACATTAGAATGCGAAATCATACTTAAGCCGTAATTAAATCTGGAACAATGCACATTAATCTTACCACACTTCCCCATGATCACTCCCCATACCAAAAAAGATTTATTTTATCTGTCTTAACTTTTCCCTCATCTAAAATTTATCACATCTCACTACATGCTCTTGGCCTTTTGCCATGAATTTTACATCAATAATTTAAAAAAAAAATCACATTTCTGGGAAAGTATTCCATGCTCTTTCAACAGTATTCAGAGCAGTTCCATGCTACTATTAACCTCAAATTGATACTGATGAACAATTATTTATTCTCCTTTATATTCCCAGCCTATCTCACCTGCTGTTGATACAACATGGAGCAGCATCTCAATCTCACAGGTAAACAGGGTCCAGCTGCTGTAGGAATACTCCCATCGTACCAAATAAGCCCGATCATCCAGCATCACTTGGCCCACTGTTCCCTGAGGTATCCGCAGATTTGTTTGACCTAGTCCTAAAGATTGAAGAAGCAGGTGAAATAAAGTCACAAATTTTACCCATGAGGTAGAAGCCAGGTAAGGAACTAAATTCCCCAAAGCATTTCAATATGAAAAGGTTAAGTGCAGTTTCCTTACCAAGAGGATAGAGGAGCTTTGGGGCCTGTCTTCGCCAAAGTGTGCCATCTTCATGAGAGATCACATCAGGAGGCTTATGCTTGTACAGTTCGATATAGAAGGACATTTTATCCAGGAAACTGTATACCTGCAAACAGAGAGAGCTTAAACAACACAGACAAAGAGCCATACCTTCTTAAAAATTAATCTACCAGGTAATTTCCAGGAACAGGCAAGTTTGCTGGACTTGTACAATATCCTTCTAATACATCAACCCTACTAAAACACTATTAGACAGGCCACATGTCCAGACAAGTCTCATCTAATGAATCAGGAACTTCTTACGAGTCAAGCACAACCTGAAAAATGAGGCAGTATCTTAATCTTCAGCCACTAGAGTTGAAAAGTTTTCTAAAGCCAGAAAACAGTGCCCTGCAACAGCACAGGACTAAAAAGGAGCTCTGTCCACTGTTCTTTGACAAAAGCTTAAGGTCTGTTATCTAAGATTGCAATTGAAATAAGCACGTGTAATGGAAAGAAAGAATCACACAGCATTATCACACAGCATGTTATCCCTATCTTGAAATAAATCATCTCCCAAACACCAAGAGATATTCTGTACCTTTTTTGCAGTAGATTTATCAGACACAAGGGCTTGGAGCAGCTGAAGGAGAGGAGTAAGAAGATGGGGGAACATCCCACACACGCTGTCCAGGATAATACCCAGACCTGCAGTAGGTTCCTGGTGGTGAAAACAGAAAAGAAATGTTTTATTACTAAAAATAAATGCTAAAATGGTCTCAGTATAGCACAAGGATATAGTTCCTTTTTAAGTTGTACATTTAACATTAATCATGCACAAAAGTATCACTCCAGTCCTTGCACAGACTAAAGCATGAGGCAGTGTGCAAGTATAAGGCAGGAAGTAAGACTGTAACGCATTACGTATCATCCTAATTCTGTGATAACAAAAAAATAAGCATGATGCTTTTGCCAGCAGTTAGTTCAATCCTTGCAACCCCAGCCCTGGTTTAAACTATCACCTATATTAAAACTTGCTCCAGTATCCTTCAAGAGTAAAGCCCACGCTGTACCTAAAAGGCAGGAAAGGGCAAAAGTAAATCAAAGATAGATACAAACCAACACTAGCTTCTCAGGCCCTCCTAGAAACTAACTAAATACAATCAGCCTGTTCCTTTCCTAAAAGGGGATGTTTTACCAGGTTTTAGTTAGAAGCAAGGCAGGTCAAAGAAGATGCAAACACACTTACCGTCTTCCAGAAGAGCTGAGGAATGCTAGAAGCTGCCAGAACTTCACACGCAGCATCAATTATATCCTTCAAAGGAAGACAGGACAGAGAAAATAAAAGTTACTTTACACAGGGATATTTCATCCCAACCAAGTTCTGCCATATCTATGGAATTTAAGTTTCCATGTTTACTAGCCAAGATGTAACTACTTCCTCTACTCAAAACAGAAAGAAACACCCAACACACCCAAACCCAGAACACACAGCCAGCCTAAAGCCATGCTCCTTGTGATGAATGCACTGGTCAAGGCAAGTATGTCCACTGTATCTGCAAAGGGCTATATGATGTCTTCTCAGACTTGGAAACGGAGTATGTATTATTTCCATTGCTTTGGAAGTAATACATCAACACTTAGTTTCAAATTCATAGGACCTCAACTGCAAGACATGCTCTTTCATTATTAATCAGCCAGTCTGCAGAGGTGTTTACTAAGTTTGCACTGTGTAAATGTAGTAGGAAACACAGCAAATCAATCTTTTAGACCTAAGTCACATAAAGTTTGCAGTCTCAAGTGCAGGATTACAATTTAACAAAAGTACTTAGCATAAGTTATGCCAGGTTATTTTAAATTAGGTAACAGATGCAATGAGCTTTGGATGCTTACCTGCTGATTGCCCAGTGTATGCAATTCCAGCGATGTCAGGACAAAGGAAAGAAGCCCATAAATACACATGCAAGCTGTGCTGGCAGTACACTGGAAAGAAAGAATATAGAAAGCCATTATAGGAAAGACTATGAATCACAGAGCACGCTTTAACTGTACCCCATCTGCTTTACAGACTGAGTAACTGCCTTTTTGATACATCCTTGCTGCAGTCAGCCATGGGGCAGCAAAACAGGAAGTAATCATTAGTCAAGCTCCACATTTTCATCAAATATTTCATCAAAATGAGAAATATTGCCTCTATCATTATCATTAGAAATGCCTTCCAAACATCAAAAAAAGAAGCGCTCAATGTTCATAGAAATTAAAAGGATTTGCTTTCACTGGTTTCTGCCTACAAAGTAGTTTATTCTCATACATAGTATCATCTAATGAAACCATATACAGAGAACAGGGCAGAGTTAAATCATCTAATACTCTTGATCCACAATAGCAAGTACGCTTATGGAGGCAAATCAACAAATGTGATTAAATGCAGTCTATTCTGTGCAAAAGAGATGTAGTTCCTCAACTTACAAAAGTGTTTTTTCATTCTTTGGGCATAAAAATCTGTTTCATTTCAACTCGATTTCTGATCTTCACTGAAAGAAGGTAAGATGATAAAACATGCTTTAATGCATATTCTGCTTAAAACCAGATTTAGTTTGAAAGAACATTGGTTCAAAATCATATGCTTCCCATCATACCTTTACATCAGTAGCAGTTAAAAACCTTCAAGGGCTAACACATATGATTACAAGAAACTCACATTCTTTCCCCCACTGCTCAGCGATCGCAGCAGCTTTGTCAGATACTGGAAAACATTCAGCTGGATAGCAGTGCTGCCCATTCTCCTGATAATGTTTGCTGACTCCTCTGGGTTTACAGTGTGACGGAGCAGTGCCCAGGCCAAAAGCACCGGAGCGTGATGTGAGACATCCCCTAACTGCAGCAGCTGATTGTCCATCTCCTGCGCAGGGGCAAGATAAAAGCAAAATAACTGCGATCTTCTGAAAGACATTCATACTCAGCAAGCATACAGCTGATTGCATCTTCTTGCTAACAGTCACCTTTCCCTTGCAGATAATTATTTCAAACATGCAACTGTCCAAATTACATACTTGCAGCTTCAGTCTGTTTTTCTGCATGGCCTACTGACTTATAGTTGGTCTACCCTCAGATGTTCTCTCCTAAAAGCACTGACACTACAAATCCTTTGTTTCATTCCCTTCTGGAAACTTCACAATGCCTATTTCTTTGCACACATCTTTCTTTAGAGAAATGCCCAGGACAACCAAGGAAATATATGGGGGAGAGGAATTAATTTTGTTCTTCTTTGCCTCAGAATGTTATGTGGATGCTAGCTCCTACACTTGGTGAACAAACCCAAAAACTTACAGATATAATCTTTAAACAGCATTGGTTGGGTAATCACAGTACTGTTAGGCCTGACAAGGGGTTACTCTGCCAGTGCTTTACCTGGTGGATGCGCTCGTTACTGGCTAACTTGTGCTCCCCGGTCCTGTCATCCAAAGCACGCTCATGGAGCGAGTCAATTTCCATGCCTTCCACCAGAATAAGAGCACTAAAGTAGCTACAAGCAGGAGAAGAACAAAAACAAGTAGGTCAGAAACTTAATTAAGAATTCAGGGAGGTTTTTTAAAACTGTAAGTGGTCAAAAAACAACCTTTAGTCTGTTTTTGTTCAGCTGTTCTTTGAAGCCATAAGAAATTACATGAAATTAACAGCAGGTAATCCAAACTTTGTCTTGAAATGCTAGTATAGGACAGATTGCAACCTTCAGAACTACCATTTCTGGTTGAACAGATAAAAAAGGGTCACTGAAATCTGCAGATAGCTTTTCCACCTTTGTAACTCTCTGCCACCTGGCAGGATTTTCATTCCCCCTGGCTGCAGCTTGAGTTATGTCTCATGCAGCAAAATGCAGACATTACTGCCATTTGTTAGCAGATCCACAATAGCTTGAACCGAGGCAACGCAGTTAATACAGGTCAGAGAGAGAATGCTAGCCTGCATGCAGGTAGCAGCCAGACTACCAGCACAGGACTGTGAAGATGCAATTTCACTTTACCACTAGACCATCTAAGAAGGAGTGGCACTGTGTTTTCATTGCCATTCTTACCAGAGGCAAGATTATATACCAGATTAAAGCTAGTATATGGATACCTCTCTACTTTGCAATCACACCTTCGTTTTGCTACAAACCCCCAATGTGACCAGAAAAGCTATTTTGCCTTCATCACAATAAGCTTAGCTTGAAATAGGAGTGATTTTAAGAGGCAGCAGCAAAAATTATAAATGCTTTTTTCCTTGAGGAAACAATTGTTTTGCTCTGTAGTCACTTCACAAATATACACGATACTAACCCAATACGATCCACCAGGTGATCCATGCTCTCATCTACCAAATGTCTGTTGGTTTGTCTAGTGCCAAATCCCTGTTCTTTGAACATCTTTGCAAACGCCAGAAGCTCATCAGGTGCCATTTCAAAGTATGCATAGTAGAGGAAGATGACTTCCAGGAGCATGGACTGTTCACGGAGGCATTGCACAAACCAACGGGAAACCTGACGTTCTGTCTGCAGAAGGAAAAGTTCTATCATCGTATGTCGAAGCTCACAGGTCAGTCAAAGCAGTTAGAAACTGAGAAGTGTTGAAGCATTTCAACAGCTTGTGTAGCCAGTGGTTTGTATCAATGGCAAGGAAAGTCACTATAAATTCAGAGCATGCTGATGCAGAGAGATTATGAACAACTACACATAAATGGATCTGTTAGCTTAGGGCTATCAATGGATTTATTACAAGGAACAATATGTTCTATGCAACTCTTTTTCTGAGCAAAAGTGTGTTCCATTAGAGAGGAAACAAATTTTAGGTTTCTTGGACCAGGAGAAACATCCTTTTTAACTGCATCTGCACATACGCATTTTCCAATACACTACATATAAGAAAGACTTTGTAAGTTTGATTAACGATAGCAAGAAAGAAAATACCATGAGATTTCCATGTGTTTCCCATGTAGGAGCTTCTGCTTTGTACAGCGCTTCAAACTGTTTCCGGTAATTAGGAACTAGCTCCTTGTCCAACTTTTCAACACATTGGAAGTATTGTGCCTTAAATAAACAAATAAATAAATTAATTTCTCACATGCACGTTCATGTGCTTTTTACAATCACAATTACTACACAACTCACATATTTAGCCTATTTCAATGACATCACATCCAGGAAAAGGTTCCTGTACTCACTGTGTAAGGGTGCCTCTCATCCTGAAAATAAGTGAGTAGATGGAGAACACAGCGCAGAATGCAGATCCTCTCTTCATAGTAATAGTCAGCAAGCTGTGAAGATATAGTGTCATCAATATCAGTTTGGTATTGTGACCAACTCCCATACGCTTTCCTCTCCCATGCACTGCCAAGGCCTTCATCACAAGAATACATAGTGCTCAAATGTTACTACAGATGGAGTTTCAACTAGGTAATTTTTAAGTTATCGGGAAAAAAAAATACTTAATTAACTTTACAGAACTCAATAAAACATGCCCATAGGGACATGTCTATAATTACACTGCTAAGTGAGAAAACTTGGAAAAGAAAGGCAAAAAGACAGAGATGATCTCTCATTCCTCATCCTTATCATCCTCTGTCAGATATGATCATCAGTCTCCATTTCAGAGTTGTCACTTCAGACAATAACATATAAATCTACAAGCTTTGGAAAACAAGGGAGCATATGTCTGGCCAGCTAAATTCCCTGATATTAAGCCTAAAATTTCCCTTCTGTAGCAACTATTAACACTGTTTAAATCTATATGCATATCCCTCTGTTTCAGAAGCATCTTCTAAAATTTGTTCTTTATATGAAGAAACACTTCAATTATTCCAAGATTTTCTAGATCCATAGAAATAAAGATGGTTCTCTGTTAACAGATCTTCTTGACAGAAAATACAAATGGAAATGACTAACCTTCAGTATCAGAGCCTGACTCTGCCTTTCATCCTGAAGAACTGTCTGTAAGCAAAACACAACAAAATAAATATCTGCTGTAGAAATACGTACTGACAAAATACATACTTCGCAAAAAAGACTGAAATAAACAAAAGACAATTTTTCTTTCCCTTTCTTTTCAAAAGATAGATTCCAAAAGCACAAAGCCAAAACACTCATTTTTAACTACATATTTTTCTTCATCTTCACTCACTCTCCTTCACAAATCTGTAGCTTTCCTATATTCCTGCAATAGAGAGGAGCTGAGCTCCTGCAGAGAGATTCAAGCAGGAAAAGGTACTAGAAAGTTAGGCATTGATATCTGCTATCACATTTTCTTAAAGGAGCACTTGAGCATTGTAGGTTCAGAGAAGAAAAGCTACAAAGCCAATCCCAAACCAGAACTCAGACTCACATGTGACCATATGCATCAACAAACCACTGATATTAAGGAAAGACATGGAGTGAACAGAACATAAATGGGAGCTATGGACCTTCAGGGAGTCCCTTGTTCCTCTGTAATCTTCTTGAAGATAACACTGTAACAACTGCACACTCTGCTCTTCATCCAGACCCTGGTAAAAAAAAAAAAAAAAAGAGAGGTGCTCTGAAATGAATAAAAGGCAACTGAATTCACTCAAGATGAAGATCCTCTCCAAATATTCAGGCACCTCTTCTCTTCAAAACAAATAATTTCCAAAAGAAAATTTTTGCATGAGGCAGATGCTTGCTTTAGTCAGCACTTCTGTTTAAAGCAAATACATCAGCTTTGATGTCCCTTAGATGTAGCCAGTTTAACTTCAGCAAAAGGAGCATAACAGTCGCTTAAATAAAGGTACCATCACCAGTCACTGAATTCCAAACTTCTGGTTTGAAGGAACATAACCTTGCAGGTAAACTGACTGTATTTTCAAACACAGCAACTGATTTAAGGGACATCAGTTTTTAGCTGAGCAGTTTCAGATCTCTTGAAAGAACCCAAGAAAGACCAAAAGTGAGTGGCTGCTGCTGAAAAAGCAGGGCCCTTTGCGGTAGAAAGGGATGTTAACCAGAAAAAAACAAAGCACTTCAAGGTCACTAACCACTTTTGAAAATTTTGATCTACAGCCTCAACACGTACTTCTAGCATTCTTTGGATTATTTTTAACTGAAAGGAACTTAAGTTTGCCTCTATTCAACATCAAGAAGCTTACTTAAATATCAAAATCCCAGTATCAATGCATTGCAAGTGCAGGGATAAAAAATAATCGGCGCCTTCACTCACCAAAAACTTGCTGACCCTCAGACCCAACTCTTTTAGTGGAGCAGCTACATCTTTATCAGCTTTTATTTTTTCTGCTGAAGTTGTACTAAAGAAAAAAGAAGTTTTAGTCGTTAAAACTGCAGCAGTCCCAAGGAAATGAGCTAAATAGGCTTAATTTCAAAGTTCTCAGTTTTATCAGTTTAAACTGAACATTTGCTTTTTCCTCGACGGCCTTTCGATATTTCATACAACAATATTCTGTAATCTTCCCACCAGATAAAATTCAACATTGTTCACAATCTTATTACTACAATAAATGCAAGTGTCAAGAGCAGTCACTTCTCCACAGGCTGCATACTTGCACATGATGACTGCAGCTCAGCAGAGGCAAGGGTTAAGAGCTACCTAACGTTAGTAATGACAGCAGAAACGGCTGTTATTTCTTTCTGGACTCTAATTCATGCCCCAAAATGTTACATGGATTAAGTACTTTCCCTTGCTTCTCCTCTCCTGAAATCTCAAGCCATGCAAGAGAGTAAAAATCTATTTTTATGCAATCAGAGAGAAATATTCAACATGCTCCTCTATTTACTAGGAGAATCCATTTTATAGGTTAATTTCTAACATCAGGCAATTACTATACCTTGGCGGTTTATAGTATGAAAGTCCCTCTAACAATCTCTGCCAGTGCTTGTTCAATTCTGCCGCAATCTGTGCCTAAAAAAAGAACCAAATACTACTGAACAGATTCGCCAACATACACTGCCAAGTATCAGATTTATTAAATTTAAGCAAAGCAAAGAAATTCCACCACCACAAAGAGACAGGAACAACACAAGACAAGCATCTATGATTCAGACTGATTCAAGGTGCATTATTGTATGAGACAGCTCGCTGCCTTGCCTAATCACGGGAAGGGAGAAGAAATAGGAGGCAATGGACTGGATTGAGAAACTTTTGGATTTCCAGCCTCTGGGCAAATTCTTGAAAGCATGGACTCCGTCCCTGAAAATAAGGAAACAGGCTGTACCACTCATGAATACCCCAGGCCAGCCAGTCTAGAAAGTAGCACTTGTGTCCGCTCCAGAAAGGGAACCACCTTTTCACATACACCCTTCCAGGTAGTTCATGAAGCAGCTATAAACAAGGAATGGAAGAATGAATAAATAGTGGCGATAGAGGAACAAAAATTGCACTGAGGAAAAGGGAAAAGCAGCAAAACATATTTTCACCAATAATCAAAGAGATGTACAAATGACGTATTTGGCCATGGAGTCCATTCAGTGATGGGCAAACCTGCTTAGCAAGACAGGGACTTACCGGTTCTCTTAAAGCTGATCTGCCCAGAAGAATGGTCCATAATTCTCTGCTGCTCCTGTAAACAAAGGGAAAAAGTGGAGAGTATTTTAATGATGAACACTATTTCAGGCTTCCACTTAGCTTACACTTTTTCAAACCTGCAATTAGCTCAGAGTAGATCACACTGCAATATAAGATATAAGAAAAATTATGTAAGGAACATTAGTTTTTAGCTGAGCAGTTTCAGATTTCCTGAAAGAACTCAGGAAAGACCCAAAGAGGGTGACAACTGATGTAGCAAGACTTGCAAACTCACGTCAAAGAAGCATCACATTTATATCAGTTTTGCTATTTTGACGTTTGAGGTTAGTAAAAAGAAACCTAATGAAAGTATAGAGCAATATTTTATTCAGTTACATTCAATGCTCTCCTCCATACAAATTCTTCCATAACAGTTTTATCCTCCACTCTACTAGGTGAAGTGAAAAACTGCAACACCCTTACATAAGGTAGAATGATTTGATGCAGCTCTTCAGAACATTTACCCTCAGCTTCTTGTTTCTTTCCGAGAACTCTGTAGAAAAGCCAATCTGCACTATAAGGTATTACAGATCAAATCCTGACCCTGGCATATGCATCCAGAAAAATGAGCCTACCTACAACAGCTCTGAAAAAAAGACGTTTGCCAAAAAGAATACTTCAGGAACTCAGACAAATGATGATTTGTTAGCAATGTAATACAAATTAGGAGTTAAACACCACAGCTCCCCATGCAAAGACTGCCTACAAAAGCAAGAACGTTCATTAACTTATTTTTAGAACATCATCATCATCAAAATAACTCACTATAGCAGTGAAAGTCATCTGCAACTTCTGACACATGGTGCCACTTAAGTGAATGACAAGACCTATGATTACCAGTACACCTATTTCTACCTGCTCGTTCCTCAGTAGTTAGGTGCACCTCCCTGTGTCTAAGTTAACGAACCCCTCCTGACTTGGTCAGCAACCAGCTGTGAGTGCAACCTGCCTAGCCCACACAGAGCACCGAAAGGCCACAGGATTTTACCAAGAATCACTCTGTAGAACTGAGCATCAGCCTAGCAGAGTCAACCCTTCTACTTTTCATTCCCTCCTAACGTCTTCTGTGTATAAAACAGACCACGGTTTGTTGCCAGTTCATTAATTAGACTCCGAGACAGCTAAGGAAGGAAAGCTCTCTTTATACAATCACACGTAACGGTGGTGTTCTTGTCCTCATTAGGGCTTATACACATTCATTTAATAAAAATTAGCTATCTAGGAATACTCCAGAGCATAAAAACATTACAATAAATGACAAAAAACGTGCCCAGGACAAACGAAGGCACCGATCTAAAGCGATCACCGAACCTGGCATTCACTGACTAGCTTCCTTTCTACATGTTTTGATTTTTGTATTTGCAAAGAGTCGTCCAAAAGGTGAAAATCAACTCTCGACTGCTCTGCTCTGCACCAGAGCAGCTGTGGGACTCGGGAGGAGGTCTGACAGACACCTCCCAGGAGTTAGCGCAAACCGGGACTTCACTTCGCAAAAGCAAAAGCTTTTACAAAGTTCTATTTAACATTTCGTCTTGCACAATACGGCAGAATAAAACAAACGCAAAAATCACTAAAAAGTCACTGCTAACACCGAAATTTAGCCGCCTGGGGAGTCCCCGAGGGGCCGCTCAGCGAGTGACGGGGAGGGGCCTCCCTGCGCGCGCGGGAGGCGGGGCCAGGC